CCTGCGGCTCCGCGGAGCCCCCGGCGCCGCCCCCGCCCCGCGCTGGGTCCGGTACCTCACCCACAGCGACTCCTACGTCATGAGACTCTGAGAAACCTGGGAAAATCCGGGAAAATCCCGGGAAAATCCCGGGAAAATTCCAGGAAAATCCAGGAAAAAATCCCGGAAAAATCCGGGAAAAATTGGGGAAAATATCCCGGGAATAAACCAGGAATAAAGGTGGGAACAGAGCTCACCCACAGCGACTCCTACGTCATGAGACTGTGAGAAACCCGGGAAAATCCGGGAAAATCCTGGAAAAATCCCGGGGAAAATCCGGGAAAAATCCGGGAAAAAATCTGGGAAAAATCGGGGAAAAAATCCCGGGAATAAAGGTGGGAACAGAGCGGTGCCTCACCCACAGCGACTCCTACGTCATGAGGCTGTGAGAAACCTGGGGAAAATCCGGGAAAATCCCGGGAAAATCCCAGGAAAATTCGGGAAAATTCCTGGGAAAATCCGGGAAAAATCTGGGAAAAATCGGGGAAAAAATCCCGGGAATAAACCAGGAATAAAGGTGGGAACAGAGCGCTGCCTCACCCACAGCGACTCCTACGTCATGAGACTGTGAGAAACCCGGGAAAATCCCGGGAAAATCCTGGGAAAATCCCGGGAAAATCCCGGGAAAAATCCCGGGAAAATCCGGGAAAAAATCCGGGAAAAATCCGGGAAAAAATCCGGGAAAAAATCGGGGAAAATTCCGGGAAAAAATCCCGGGAATAAACCAGGAATAAAGGTGGGAAGAGAGCTCACCCACAGCGACTCCTACGTCATGAGACTGTGAGAAACCTGGGAAAAATCCGGGAAAATCCCGGGAAAATCCCGGAAAATTCCTGGGAAAATCCTGGAAAAATCCCGGGAAAAAATCCCGGGAAAATCCGGGAAAAAATCCGGGAAAAATCCGGGAAAAATCCGGGAAAGATCTGGGAAAATTCCAAGAAAATCCCGGGAAAATATCCCAGAAAAATCTGGGAAAAATCCTGGGAAAAAATCCGGGAAATTTCAGGGAAAATAAGCGGGAAAATCACGGGGAAATCACGGAGAAAATCCCGGGAATATCCAGGGAAAATCTCAGGGAAATCCCTGCAAAAAATCCCGGGAAAACCCTGGGAAAATTCAGGGAAAATCCCGGAAAAAATACCGGGAATATCCAGGGAAAATCCCAGGGAAATCTCTGCTAAAATCCCCTTAAAATCCTGGGAAAAAATCTGGGAAAACCCTGGAAAAATCCCAAAAAAATCCCGGGAAAATCCTGGGAAAAATCCCGGGAAAATCCCCACAAAAACCCCGGGAATACCCAAGGAAAATTCCAGGAAAATTCCGGGAAAAATCCCAAGGAAATCCAGGGAAAATTCTGGAAAAAACCCTGCTAAAATCCCGGGAAAATCCTGGGAAAAATCCCAAAAAATCCTTGGAAAAATCCCGGGAAAATCCCAGAAATTCCCAAAAAAATCCCAGAAATTCCCAGAAAAATCCCAGAAATTCCCAGGAAAATCCCAGAAATTCCCAGAAAAATCCCAGAAATTCCCAGGAAAATCCCAGAAATTCCCAGGAAAATCCCAGAAATTCCCACGAAACCCCCGGGAAAATCCCATAAAAAGCAGAGCGGGAACGTTGAAGTTTTTTTGGAATTTTTATTGGGGGAAAAAACGGGAATTTGGGGGAGGAAAATTCGGGATTCTGAGCTGAGGAAATGGGGGAAGAGCAGGGAGGGTGGGAAGGCCGAAATTCCCGAGAAATTCCCGAGAAATTCCGAAAAATTCCGGAGAAATTCCAAAAAAAATCCGGAAAAATTCCCGAGAAATTCCTGAGAAATTCCAGAAAAATTCCCAAAAATTTCCCGAGAAATTCCGGAAAAAATCCCGAAAAATTCCCGAGAAATTCGCGAGGAATTCTCGAAAAAACCACGAAGAATTCCTGAGAAATTCCGGGAAAATTCAAAAAAAATTCCGGAGAAATTCCCAAAAAATTCCGGAAAAATTCCCGAGAAATTCACGAGAAATTCCTGAAAAAATTGCGAAAAATTCCCGAGAAATTCCGGAAAAATTCCCGAGAAATTCGCGAGAAATTCCCGAAAAAATCACGAAAAATTCCCGAGAAATTCCCGAAAAATTCCGGAGAAATTCCAAAAAAAATCCCAAAAAATTCCTGAGAAATTCCGGGAAAATTCCCAAAAAAATTCCGAAAAGTTCCCAAGAAATTCCGGAAAAATTCCCAAAAACTCCAAAAAAATTCCCAAAAAATTCCCCAAAAATTCCCGAAAAAACGAACCCGTAAACGCCAACATCGGAATTTTTATTGGGGGAATTTTGGGCTGAAAACGGCGAAAAACGGGAAAAAAACCCTCAGGAATTTTTGGGATTCCGAGCTGGGAAAATCCAGGAGGATTTGAAAAGTTGGGAAACCCAAAAAATTTTGGGATAAATCCCAAAATTCCCAAAAAAACCCGGCCGGAATTCCGAGGAATTCGGGGATTTCAAGGAGAGGGAAAAAACTTTGGGAATTTTGGGGTGAAAAACCCCAAAAATGGGGAAAAAAAACTCCTTGGGAATTGTGGAATTCCTGGAATTTCGTCTTCAGAAAGTCTGGGAAAAGAGAGGGAAAAAAAAATTCCTGGAATATTTGGGATGATCCCAAAAAAATTCCCAAATTTTGGGTTCAAAAAGCCCAAAAAAGGGAAAAAAAAAGGGAAAAAAAAAGGGAATTTTTGGGGTTTCGTCCTCGGGAATTCCAAAGGTGAAAATTCCCGATTTTTTTTTGGTGGGAAACCCCAAAAATTCCCGAATTTCTCACCTGGAATTCGAGGCTGGAGGAGCCGAAAAGGTCCCGGGGCTGCTCCAGGGGGGTCTGGGGGGGGAAAATCCCAAAATTTGGGGCTTTGGGGAGGGAAAAAATTCCCAAAAAATTCTGGGGGGTTTTTGGGGATTTTTTCCCAATTTTTAGGGATTTTTTCCCAAATTTTTGAGGATTTTTTCCCATATTTTTGGGGATTTCTTCCCAATTTTGGGGGATTTTTTCCCCAATTTTTGGGGGATTTTTTCCCAATTTTGAGGGATTTTTTCCCCAATTTTTGGGAGATTTTTTCCCAATTTTTTGGGATTTTTTCCCCAAATTTTTAGGGATTTTTTCCCAATTTTTGAGGATTTTTTCCCAAATTTTTGAGGATTTTTTTCCCAAATTTTGGGGGATTTTTTCCCAATTTTTTGGGGATTTTTTTCCCAATTTTGGGGGATTTTGGGGAGGATTTTTGGGGTCTCACCCTGGGGGATTTCGGGGTCTCCTCTTCCTCCTCCTCCTCCTCCTCCTCTTCCTCTTCTTCCTCCATCAGGCTCAGGCTGAGCCCAAAAAACCCCAAAAATCCCAAAATTCCACCCAAAATCCCCCAAAATCCAATCCCAGGACCTCCCAAAGTCCCCAAATCCTCCCAAATTTCCTCCCAATTTTTTCCCAAAAATCCCAAAATTCCCCCCAAAAAATCCCTGAAATCCTCCCAAAAATCCCAAATTTCCCCCAAGTTCCCCCAAATTCCCCACAAAAATTCCCAAATTTCCCCCAAAATCCTCCCAAAAATCCCAAATTCCCTCAAAAAATCCCTGAAATCCCAAAAAAAATCCCAAAATTCCCCCCAAAAATTCCCAAATTCCCCCCAAAATCCTCCCAAAAATCCCAAAATCCTTCAAAAAACCCCAAATTCCCCCCAAATTCCCCCCCAAAAAGCCCCAAATCCCCCCAAAAAACCCCAAAA